CGTGCGGGTGGGTGGGGTGGGTGTGTTTGGGGGGGGGGGGGGGGGGGGGGCGACCCAACAAGCTTCCATGGCAGAGTGGGTATTCGAACATGGGTCTCCATGATCTTTGTCTTGACACTGGGATCATCACCCCACACTTGGTTTTTTTGTGAGTGAAACCCTAGACTGTAGAGACCAACTGTTCCCCAGTTTACTGGCAATAGAGATATAAGTACCTTTTGTAAAATAATAACGATAGTCGCTGACAAAACTACTGTGTCACCTCTGGCTACTGGCAATCCCAAGCCATACCACTTTCAGAATCTTTTATTTTTAATGGTGAAAATCTATGTATTCTGTCTCTCCCCCCTCCCCCCCAAAGTTGCTTTGTTAGGCTGCAGAATGAGATAGTGCTGAGTCAGCTTTTATGGTGCCTGCCTCATAGGGATGGAGGATTTCTTGGGCAGGGCAACTGTCTCTTTAACCAATTGTTCGTCATCCTGGGTTCTCTGAGCAAAGCCACCGCCATTTCTCAAGGCCTTTGTCATCTGTAAAATCCCGTCCTTAACAGGAGCCACACACTCTGAGAAATATGGAGCGGCCTAGCAGAGCCAGACCTCAGTTGTGCTGAGGTCTTTATCTATGACTTGAAGCCACTCTTTGTCTTCAGCTGGTATCCCTTGCTTGTCTTGATTTCCTGTCATGCCAGGCCTCTGTCCATCCTGGCTATTCTTGATTGACATAAAAGTACGTCCCCCTGTGCCTTTGGAGGGGGAAGTTGTGGAGGGAGACCAGATTGCCTTGTTCCCACTGTGCTGTGGGACTGGGCCCCCACAGCATTTTTAAACAGCCAAATTATTCTCTAAAATGTTGTTGCTGGCTGTGGGTCCGTAACATCTAGTTTGGCTCTCAGAAAGGAAAAGTGTCTTTTGCTTTCTTCTGCCTTGAGCAGATGCTTAGTGGGAAGTTTTTAATGGTCGATAAAACCAGGAGGCAAGCCAAGTGTGTCAAATCCTATCTCATACAGATGTCCTAAACTTGGAAAGCCCATCTTTGAGTGTTTAACGATCCCTGATATTGAAGAAATTATGGTTAACCAAACTGAGGTTGCCTTCTTTTGACGATGCCTTGAAGCTGTTCCGAAAAATGAAATTTTATCATCAATGGTGTAGTACAAGGATCCGTATCTGGCTGGAAGCAAATATAGTACACAGTAATAAAACCCTGACAGGATAGCAGAGAATTTGAGCGGAGTATGGGCATGAGAGCTGTGTTTAAAAATAAGCTCTTGTTTTATGTTTGCATACTTAATTTTCATTCTGTCCAAAGATGGTTTTGCAGGCTGGCTTAGAGTTTGGAACTTGCTACTGCATGAACTGAAATTTCAACCTAATGAGCAATTAGGAACAAAAAAAGGGGGAGGGGGTTAAAAGACTCTGACAGTAATTCTTCCTCTGTTCATTCCTTTCTGCATATCTCCATTCCTCTGGCAGTTCAACAAAGCCATGTACATAACTCTGCCCTGCTGTTCCCTGTGTTTATCTTAAATTTGCTTTTCCTAGTGGAATGTGTCTAGTTAAATTTTCATAGCATTATTTCTGCAGTAGTGCTGGAGTTAATATTTTAATACATTTTAAACGAGCAATGAAAATGGTGCTGCACATTAAATCAAGCTGATGAATAACTATAAAAAGTGTCCTGTGGGTTTTGAGATTGCTCTGCTTTTGCCATCTGTCTGATGCTGAAACGTTTGTGGGTTGTTGTTTTTTTAAATGCAATGATACTGTAATTCTGTGTGGGTTTTCTCTTTTCTCAGACTACCAGCGTCTGATGACAGTTGCAGAAGGAATCACCACGCTGCTGTTCCCATTTCAGTGGCAACACGTGTATGTTCCCATCTTGCCTGCCTCTCTCCTGCATTTCCTTGATGCTCCTGTACCTTACTTGATGGGTCTGCAGTCCAAGGAAGGAACAGATCGTTCCAAACTGGAACTTCCCCAAGAGGTGAATTTGGTCCTTAAGCAGCTGATTCTTAGGATTGTCTCTGGTGTGTCTGGCTCCCTGAAATAGGGAACTTTCTTCTATTTTAATTTTCTGTAAACTCAAGAATTGAATCTCATAGGCAGTGTTTGTAGTTGTACTGTAATGTGGCTGCTTACCTGAGCTTTGGAGCAGACAAAAACAAAGCTTCTGTGTGACCATCATTTATCGTTTCTGGACTGCAACAGTTTTTTGTTTTCCCGTTGGTCAGAGCATCCCACTGGGCAGTATTAGTCCCGTACAATGGAAAGTATACTTAGTGAAAAGGGGCATCGAGGTCTTACCCAAATAATATTTGTTCCCCTCCCCCCATCATATTAGAAGGGGAGGACAACAAGAGTTTGAGTTGGATTTAGCCAGCTTTTGTGCTCAGGGAAAAAGAGAGTCCCCTTTGACCACCAAAAAGGGCTTTGCTGACAACCATGAAACCTGCATGGAGAAAAGCTAGGGGGTGGGGTGGGGGCTGTAGAAGAGAGGGAAACTGGGTAAAAAAGCTGGCTGGGTCCAGCACAAGATCCCAGCAGTTTCAGTGGGGTAGCGGGGCATTTCCACTTTGGCACAAGTAGCACCCAAGTGTTCTCTTAAATAGCAGAACTGGAACTGCTCCCACTGATCTTCTGGACAAGTGGGCTGTAAAAGGTCCAAAAGCCATGTTGTGACCTCTCCTTAGGCCTTCATAGAGGACAGCTTTAGAGGGCGCTATAGCATGTGTACTAACTGTCCAGTGACTCCATGACCAAGTACCCTGAAAGGTTTTCGTTGTAATTATGACTATGGAGGTATACAGAGAGTGCATTTCCACACCAGAGTTTTACCACTAGCTGCAAGGGCTGTACATGCTGCCAAGCACCATACTCATTGCCAAGTCTAACTAATGTTCATATTGCCTGTGGTATTCATGTGTGTATGACTGTCCTGAATCAGTACAGCTGATTATCTCCAGTGGTTTGGTTTATTACAGGTGGTAATTGTTGCTTTCACATCTGTTAGAACATAAGAGAAGCCAATATTGGATCAGGCCTATGGATCCAGCACACAGTGGCCAAAAATACCAGGTGCCATCAGGAGGTCCATCAGTGGGGCCAGGACGCCAGAAGCCCTCCCACTGTTGCCCCCCCCCCTCCAAGCACCAAGAATACAGAACATCACTTGCCCCAGACCGAGAGGTCCTATCTCTGCCTTGTGGCTAATAGCCACTGATGGACCTCTGGTCCTTTATTTAAGATGGTAGGATCTATTCCATAAACATGTGCGCCAAATTACATTTAGCAGTGCCTTGGACTTCTACTGCAAAGAATATGGATACACTTCTGAATTTGACAAAATGGTAGTTAGCAGTGTTTTCCCTTGGGGAAAGGGGAATGTGAAAAAGAATAATAGTGAATCAGACTTTTTTTAAAAAATAGGATCAGTCAAATAGTGCAAAATAGCAAGTGCAAGCTCTCATGTTCCCCAGATGTCTTCATCAGGCTTAACATCATGTTAAGCATGAAAAAAAGGAACAGGGAAGAAAGAAATATGAATATGGCATGATGAATCATTCTAAATGTGTGGTTTGTAACGTTCTTAAAATGAAGACCAGGAAGTAATGCCAATTTTCTGGAAGCAGAGCCAGTACAGTATCGTAATTAGAGTGTTGGACTTATGATATGGGAGACCCAAGACCAACTCCTCACTTTGTCACAAAAGCTCCCACTTATTCACTCTCAGACTGACCCGCCTCACATTGGTGGTGGTTGACTGTGAGGATAAAATGGAGGAGGGGAGAATGGTGTTCTAAGCTGCTTTGGGACCCCATTGGGAAGAAAATTGGGATATAAATATTTAAATAAACAAATTGGAATACATGGTGGAGGTGCAAATCAAATCCAAAATTGCACCAAAGAAAATCCAGTCAAGTCAGCCATACATTCTGGTCTCCACTTTTTTAAAAGTAAAAAATTACAGGTAAAGTTTTAGCTCTTTTATTATGCTCAGAACATCCTTGTATGTGAACCTGTGTGAATGTGAGTTATGTAGTTAATATTGAACCCGGTGAAGAGTTCTGGAGGAATTTGGGTTACTAGAATCCCCCTGGTGGAGGCGGGGGGCCCACACTGCCAATCAACAGGCCAGCGGGGGATCTTACCAGGAGAGAGAGGGAGGCCCAGGTTTTGTCACTGGCAATGTGGCGATGTCCAGGCAGTGCTCTGGTATTTGGGCAAAAACTCTATGGTAGAAGCCATTTTTACCATAGAGTTTTTGCCCAAATACTGGAGCATTGCCCAATGTCGTGACATGATGACATCACTTCCTGTACATGCTAGAACAACATGAACATGTCATCGGTGACATCGCCTGGGCCTTCCTACCACTCCTGGTGAGACCCTCCCCATACCCCACCAGTTGCCAGAAAGGAGCACAAAAACTTGCACTATATTGTAGAATTTGGTTGTTCTTATTTATATGTAAAACACAAATATACACTGCTGACAAGGTTTAATACCAAATCTGCTCCATTCAGATACTCAAGGACTGTTCCAAGGACTCTTTTATTCCTTTGCAGAACTATGAGTAGAATCCACCATCCTGGAATATTTATAGTACAGGACATTCCCCACCACCACCATTAAGTCCAGCCTTGTATTTTATGATAGAATAAAGTTATTTATGGCGGAATCCTAAACTGAGTTACATCCTTCTAAAGGTAAAAGGTAAAGGTTCCCTTGCTCGAAAGCTAGCCGAGTCTAACTCTAGGGTTGTGGTGATCATCTCCGTTTCAAAGCCGAAGAGCCAGCACTGTCCGAAGACGTTTCCGTGGTCATGTGGCCGGCATGACTAAACACCAAGGCGCACGGAACGCTGTTACCTTCCCACTGAAGTGGTACCTATTTATCTACTTGCAATTTCTTGCTTTCGAACTGCTAGGTTGGCAGGAGTGCATCCTTCTAAGTCCATTGAAATCATTGAGTTTAGAAGGATGCAATACTGTACTGTTAGACTTAACTGTTTTCACATGTTTGGAATTTTCACATGGTTGGAGTATCAGTGGATTTTTCTCAATGGTGAATTATTGGACCATTATGAAACGCACTGTTTTGTGGAAATTGTTTTTTTGGCAATCAAACTGTCATTCAACTGAACTTGTGGGGTTGGAATAACCAATACTGGGGCCTACCCAGAGTTGCAAACCCATTACCATGGTATGGTCTATTAATGACAATGCACAAATGAAATCAACATTTTTTTTCTTTAACAATTCAGGAGATTGTATGTGTGTAGGAGTCCAAGTGGGGAGGCCCATGGTTACAAGTTCTCCTGGGCCCAAGGAAATGATGTGTGGGCTGTAGCCATGGTTCTTAGTGAGATTTTGTTTATATAATTTATATTTCCTGCACTGTGGTCTTCTGTTAGAATTTGGTAGTTCTTAATTTTGTTAGATGACCACAGTGCAGGCCAGGTCTTCTGTTAGAAAACTTCCTGTTTTCATTCTACAGACTGATTTGGGTAGGGATTATTTGGTTTTTAAGCTGATGATCATAGTAAACAAAGTTAAATATATTTTAAGAGTTGGCAGTATCACTTGTGCAGTTTAGTCCTATCCTTTTAGTTATTACTGGCCTTTTAAAATTAAGTTTGCTTTTACAAAAATTGCTCTTACTTCTACAAAAATGACTTTGAAAGTATTGGCAAAGGGACAGAGACAGAACTGTCATAGTTTGAATACGAGGTTTCGGCAGAGTGTAAAACCAGTTGATCCTTTAGCACGTAATATCTAGTGAATTATATTTCAGTTCTACATTCCTTCTATTGTTCAGGCTGAAGGCCAAGTTCCTATCCGTTGGAGCCAAATATAAACCATTTGTGGTCTTGAGATAAAATTCTAATAATTGCAATTGCTCATCATGAATTTTAGGGGGCTCAACTGTTATTCATGTTTATCATTTGGGTGTTTTGAAAAGAAGAAAATGGGAGACTGAGAACTTTCTGGGCTCAGATCTCATTTTCAGACTTAAAAAAAAAAAGAAAATCTTCACTGGTATGCAAACCCTCATATTAAAAAGCCTTTGAAATTAAATACTGGTAAGAGGATAGATTCTCTGAGCCAAGAATACAGAAATAATTAAAGAACTGCAGACTCTTTAATTGTTGTGTGCATAAATAGATTGCTAATGGACAACCCCCCCATATATGCAAATATAAATATGAAAACCACAAGAAATTGTGTTGTTGTTTTTTAAGCGCTCCTGGTTTTTAATTTGTGCAATATATTTAATGTTATCTTTGTGGCCTCCCTTAGTGTACTTTTTTAAAAAATACACATTTATATAAAGGAACTAATTTATGTCATTTGGAGGCTACTTCAGATTGTTACCTTTGTCTTTCTGTGGGAAGTAAACTGGAAGTGAACTTCTTCAACGTGCCCTAGAGAAAGCAACCAAACGCTGGTACCAATTAAACGTCAGTTTAAAGACTAACAAGTATGGGTTGCTGTTGCCCTTGTGGATATCTAGGTCTCCTGTTAGGCTGTTTTGTCATGCTTGGTACAGCTGACACCTCACTTCCCTCAGGGGAAGCAAACTGGATTTTTAAAACACTCTTCTTCGTTCAACACAGCAAATTCGCAAGCAATGAATTACAGATAGAAGCTTGAGAGGAAACATTATACTGCTGTATTTCTGAGGGGGCAGGGGTCATTGTTCTATATAATAAATCATATATAATAAATCATTTACTTTTCACCCTCCAAAGGAAGATTCCATTTGGGCAGAGAAATCGCTTTTTACGTGTTTTAGATGGCTGGCTCTATCATTACGACGCTACCTCAGGTGGTGAAATTTCTGTGCTCTTGAACGAAATGAGCAACCTGCTGTTTAATATACGTTATATTTTTTTATTGTGGTGGGGGAGGATTTGGAGGAGGATTTCTTGCCTCAAGTATAAAAATGTTCTGAGCCGATGGTGTCCTGTTGCCTCAGCCGTGCCATAATCAGTTGAAAGGCTCTCTTGCTACTTTTGTTCTAATTTCAGTCTTTACAAATATTTCTTTATGAACACATCTGTGCTCGTTCATAGCCTTGAATATCCTGCATGTTTGGTAGTACAGCACCCGTATGGTGTAAATTGCTGAATTTAAGATACATCTCAGCCACATTGTGCACTTGAGGAGTTACACGCCTCTGTTATGAGGCAGTACGTGCTGTCTGCCTTTCGAGCATGTGGATAAAAAGAAAGCTGTGTGCAGAGTTGTAGAATTTAGAGATAAGCATGATCACATGTTCACTATAATAGCTCCTGTTTTTCTCTGGCTCTTATAACAAGCAGAGAGAGATATTCCAAAAGGATTTGTGCACGGTGTTGTGGGGGTGTCATTGTGCAATCAATACTATAATTTAAAAAAATTAAAATAAGTACCTCAAAACAATCCTGGTGAGGTAGGTTTGGCCTGAATTACTGACTTGCACAAAGGCGTATACTGATCTCTCCTCAGTTCTCCAAGGTAAAGGATTTTGGGGAGAAGGTATTCGGAAAGAACTGGAGATATTAGAGCACCACTGGCCGACAGAATAGACAGTACTGAGTTAGATGGACCAGTGGTCTGGCCTGTTGTTACAAAGGTGGCTAAATGGGGGATTTGAACCCAGGGTTTTATGCCTCTTTGTTGCATAGTGCATTGCCACTATTAGACTATAGGTAAAGAGTGCCATTGAGTAACCACTGATTCATGGCAACCCCAAGATGTTCTGCCTCATGGGCTTTCAGGGTAAGAGATGGTTTGCCATTGCCTTGATCTGTATAGCAAGAGTCAAAGTTTTCCTTGGTGGCCTCCCATCCAAGTACTGACCCTGCTTAGCTTCCAAGTTCTGATGAGGTCAGATGAGTTTGGACTATTAGGGCTGCTACTCTATAGACTATAAGATGTTGATTTCTCTTTCAACATATATTTGGCTTATTTTTTCCCCCAGGCTAACCTCTGTTTTGTGGATATCGATAACCATTTCATCGAGTTACCAGAGGAACTTCCTCAGTTTCCCAACAAGCTGGATTTTATCCAGGAGCTCTCCGAAGTTCTCCTTCAGTTTGGGGTCCCCCTGGAGGCCGCCCTCCATTCTAGCGAGAGTGCCACTAAGCTGAAGAACCTGGTCCTTAATGAGCTCGCCAATGATAAGAAGAATGGGAACATCCCCAGCAATACCATCAACATGTACGAGCTGCTGAAAGGCAACGAAACCATCGCCCGCCTCCAGGCTTTGGCAAAGAGGACAGGAGTGGCAGTAGATAAAATGAGCATTACCCTTCCTCTGATGGAAAAGGAAAGAGATGTGAAGCTTCAGTGCGAAGAAGGGGAGCTGAGGGACTATAAACTGAATGTGCAGCTTCGGGAGGTCTTTGCCAGCCGCTTCACGCAGATGTTTTCTGATTACGAGGCTTTCGTCATTCAAGCTGCACAGGACAGGGAATCATGGCTGACAAACAGGGAACAGATGCAAAATTTTGACAAAGTAAAAGCAGCTGGATCTTTCTCTTCTAAGCTAATTTAATTGGTCTGCAGTTAAAAGTCCCACAGAACAGTGGGTAGAGCACATGCTTTGCAAGAACAAAGTCTTGAGTTCAGTCTTTGTATCTTCAAAGGATTTAAGGGAGTAGGGTGTTGGGGAGAGAAATCTCCTACCTGAAATTTAGGGGAACTGTTTTCAGAGAATATTACATTAGATATTGCACAACTCTGGTATTGTACAACTTTGGTATCGTGTAATTTTACATGTACCGTTACCACAGACAGTTCCCCCCCCCCAATCCCCAAAATGTAAATTTTTGTGTGGGTTTCAATACCAATGCACAGGGTAAAAATTGGAGCAGTCCTATTTAGGTGTGCTGTCAATCTATGTAGGCATCCGTAGGTAATTTTAAATTTTGCCCCCTCTAGGAAAATAATTCAATTAAAAATGAGTCTATAAGTGAAATATTGATAGAGAATCTATCTGAATCAAATTAATTAAAACCAAATTTAATGTGACGTATTCCCGACCCTACCCCCATTGAAATATGGATTTATTCTGAGTCATTTTATTGCTTAGATCATCTTAAAAACCATATATTGGATTTCTGTCAGTATGTATATTGCCAGATGTCTTTAGTCATTCAGGAAATATGATGGTCAAGCTTATCCTGAGAGATTGGCAGTATAATCGTTTGCAGATTTACTCCAGTCTAAACCAGCTGAAATTGATGGACTAAGACTGGAGAAACTTTGGATGGGCTACCCAGCTGTGAAAGGGATGTCAGGCAGCCATGGCGCCCCGTGAGCGTACTAAAAGTTAATGGGTTGGATCCTCTTGATCTTTTCTGCTGATGGTGGGTGCCTTCCTGTGCTGAATGGAGCGAGGGAATGTTCTGCCCAGTGCCATCAGCAGAACAAATCTGCAGGATTCAGCACCACGAAAGGTAGTAAACTGGGACTCTGTAATGGTCTGATAGTTTCGATTGCAGAACTTTGTCCAACTTCCCCAATTATTTTCTTTTTACAAACACAATTTGCTATTAGACCATGCATCTAGCCTATGAACATGCCCCTGATATTATAATTATAATTTTGTGCCATCAAGTCTGTGAGGTTCTGTCTCATGAGGTTTTCAAGGCAAGAGATAAGCAAGGGTGGTAGTTTGCCATTGCCTTCCTCCGCGTAACACCCCCAGTCTTCCCTGGTGGTCTCCCATCCAAGTAATAACTGTGGCTGACCCTGCTTAGCTTCCAGTCTCTGATGAGATCAGGCTAGTCAGGGTTATTCAAGCTGCTAGAGTACACCAATGGCTGAAATACAACGCATGGTGTATACTTGTGTGCTAACCGTTTGTTTCTTTTGGATTTCCCTCCCCTGTTTCTCCCGCCAGGCTTCCTTCCTTTCCGACCAATCTGAGCCTTACCTTCCATTCCTCTCTCACTTCATTGAAACCCAAATGTTCGCAACATTTATCGACAATAAAATTATGTCTCAGTGGGAAGAGAAGGATCCCTTTCTACGAGTGTTCGATTCGCGGATTGATAAGATGAGGCTGTATAATGTCAGGGCTCCTGCCTTAAGAACATCTACATATCAGAAGTGCACCACTTTAAAAGAAGCAGGTATGGAAAAATCTACCAGTTTTCATAGCAATAATTAAAAACACAGAGCATCGGACGCTTATAATTTCTCATCCCTCCTGTTTTATCCTTTGTGAATATTTATGGGTATCTATATCATGCTTCTCAGTGGGGTTCAGGGCACCGTTGTAACGTAATAAAATGTAAAACCACATTTAAGCCTCTGCAGCTGGGGCCACGTCGATTATTATTTCAAGCGCATAGGATATGTCAAAAACAGGTTTTCATTCAGGTCTGTTGCTTGCATTTCGGAAATGGAATATTGGAATGTTTGTATTCATGTGCGTCCAAAACTGTTTCAATTTTTGGGTCCGCTTTCCCTCCTAAGATTGGCTTCGGTTGATATCGGGGTACCGGAATCCCGTGTTCTCTGTCCTGAGAGGCAGCAGGCCAATCGTTCTATCCCGTTTCCTTTGTTCACTTAATCCACAAATATGAATGAAACACCAAACATTTGCTTGACTATTAGCACACACCAACATAGTGTGTTTCATGCAATTGTATAGAGAGGAACAGGGATGAAATGTTAATACAAGCATCTTAATATTTATTACAATCTGCTTTGAAGCAGCTGGATTCAAGTCCAGTAGAACCTTAGAAACCAGGAAGATTTTGGGGGTATAAGCTTTCAAGAGTCAACGTTCCCTTCACCAGAAATGAATCTAGCTGTTCTACTGCAGATCAACATGGCTGCCCTCTGAAACTGCTTTAGAAGAAGAAGAGGAGGAGGAGGAGGAGGAGATTGGGTTTATACCCCGCCCTTCACTCGGAGTCTCAGAGCAGCTCACAAACTCCTTTCCCTTCCCCTCCCCACAACAGACACCCTGTGAGGTGGGCGGGGCTGAGAGAGCTCTGAGAGACCTGTCCTTGAGAGAACAGCTCTGACAGAACTATGGCTTGCCCAAGGTCATCCAGCAGCTGCGAGTGGAGGAGCGGGGAATCAAACCCGGTGCTCCCAGATTAGAGTCCCCACACCTAACCACTACTCCAAACAGGCTCTCAAAGCAGTAGCCTTCCCCACCTCCACTTCCTTAACTTTTGACAGTCCCATTAAACACTCTGCAAGTGCACAATAACAACAGAGTTCAGGACCAGACACTGGGCTTCACAATGCTGGTACACATCTTGTTGCCATCCTCTGGTCCTGCATGCACACCTCATTCCTTACACAAATGCTATTGTTGGTCAGGTGCTTTGGGGAAATGGAATTGCTGTAAATGGGGAAAGGTAACATTCTAAATGCTATTGAAGCCCCCCTCCCCGGCAACAAGTCCCCAAATGGCTCTGAAAAACAGCAGAAATATATATTTCAGGGACACCTGAGACAAGGGGGCAATGAATCATCCATCAGCCACCTCAGAAGAAATGGAGTGATTGATATGAGCGTCTCTGTTTAATTCATAGTAGATAACGTTACCGTTGAGTAGCTGGCTCAATCCCAGTATTTTAGGCAAGGAAAAAAACCCCACAGAAAAGCTTATCAGGGTGGAATGCTTTTCCCCTGGTCCCCTGTGCAAGAGAAATGTAAACTTTCCCCCCTAGAAATTGACTTGCTGTTTATGGAAATAGAGTGAAATGGATTTGCTGTTTATATTTGCAGTATAGATCTTCCGTCATTGGGGGAATTGCACTAAGTGAGACTTCTCCCACTGTAGTTCTTGTGGGAGTTGCTGAAATGTTTCTTCTTCGCAATTCTTAATAATATAGGAACTTTGTGGGAGTTGACCTATGGTACCAGTCAACTTCCTAGCTCACACTTCTCGGAATGCTACCTTTATGCCAAGTCCCTGTTCCTTCTTTCCCCCATCACCTCCCTTTGTTGAATTCTGTGTTTCCCCCATCCCTGCAATTTTTCTCTGTTCAAACTGACATTTCACTTCTCTGTTCACACTGCATTTCACTTCCCCCCTGAGCCTGCCTTGGTGGGGAGGCCGGGGTATAAATTGAATAAATAAATAAATAATCTAGTATACGGACTGTGAACATTCTTCTGTCAAAAGCTTCTTTCCCTCAGAATATGAAATGTTTGTGAGCATTCTGTGATATCAGAACACCTCAGCCAATGTCTTTCCCCCCCCCCCCGAGGAGACTTCACCACTGTTCAGTTTGGGATGAGACAATGCAGGTGGTTCTACATAGCAGCCTCTGTGTAGTCCCACATGCAGACAGTGTACACATAAACCATAACGTTTTTGGCAAGAATGAAGAACACCCTTGCTACCGTCCCTTGGCTAAAAAATGCCATCCTGTACTAGGTACCGAAGCCATAGGGTTGGAGTCTTTCCTGCCCAGTAGTTCTTTGATGGCAGTGAAAAGCTATACAAAGACATTTCATTTTGTTCTCAGATATGAATTAGGTAAGCTCTCCATTATGATGATCTGTCAGTCGTGTCATAATAAAATGACTAAATCCAGTGTATGTTGATTTTTCAGCTCAGGCCATTGAACAGCGGCTGACGAAGATCGATCACACGGCAATACATCCGCACTTGCTCGATATGAAAATAGGTCAAGGCAAATATGAACAAGGCTTCTTCCCGAAGCTTCAGTCAGATGTGTTAGCAACTGGGCCTACTAATAACAAGTAAGCTTTTTAAAAAATCCGTGTGTATATGATTTATTACAGTGTATGATTTATTACAATGTTGGCTGGTTTTTCAGTGGTATAGCCTATTCCCTTGGGTACTGAGAAACCAATAATATCTGTTGTGGAGATTCTTTAGTTAATAATCCTCTCCTCTGTCCCCCCTCCCTTTAATTCACATTGCTCTAATGTAACTTAAGTGGGCCTGACCTTGAAAAGTCCTCATGGGCTTCAACTAGCACAAAGTGCATTATCCTATATCCTAATGGGGTGGAACACTGGGGGGAGTATTATAGTAGTTTTCTAGCGTCTGCACCAGTTCCTGTTTGCCCTCTGCGTTTAGATTTTGGTAACTTAAAAAAGATTATCTTCCCAGTAGCTTTCTCGCCTCTTATCCTGAAGTAGAAATTTTTTACACATTTAAATTTTGATCTGAGTCTTTCTCTTCTGTCTTCCTGATAACGAAAATGATTTTTAATTAAGCAGGAACAAAGTGTTTGTTGGGGCTCCTGCAACTGATTTTAAAGTTTAGACTGCCGGCTAACTTAGAGTGAATCAGACGTGTACGCGGCGAAATCGAAGTAATTGAATAAGCTCTCTAATACGCAAGTCTCAGCTGAGTGTCCTGTAATTCTTTGTAATTTACTTACAAAGGAACAGAATGCGTTGGTAGAGCAACCTGCAGGCTGAACATGACAGCTTGTAGAATGCTTATGAAGTTCTTAATCTCCAATGCTTAGTGCACTTTTGGCCAGCTGATGGAAACAGCCGCCTTGGCTGGGAGGGCAGGGTAAAAATTTAATAAATCAAATCAAACAGCAACAACAACCTTGGTCTTTAGCTGCAACCTTATGCACACTTATTTGGGTGTAAGTCTCACTGAGCACAGTTGGACTTACCCAGAATTGTGTTGTGCATCTTCAGTATTATACTGTGTTAACTTTGGGCTTGCCCTAGCAGCACAAAATCTTGTCTCTGTGTAATGGAGGCAGTTGATCCACCTCTCAAGCCCTGCACTCTGTGCCCCCACCTTCAGAAATGAGGCAGGTGGCAACTAGAGACAGGGCATTTTCTGTGGTGGCACCTTGCCTTTGGAATGCTCTCCCCCTTGAGGCTTACCTGGTGCCGGCTTTGCTTACTCTTAGGCTCCAAGCTAAAACACATCTTTTTTTACACATGCTTTTAATTAGGGGGTTTATGTTAAAAGCTTTTTAATGGTCTGCTTCTTTGTTATGGGTAGTTTTTACACTGCTTATGTCCGATGGCTTGTACTTTAATATTGTGGTTTTTAATTGTAAGCCACCTCAAGCAGGACTCTGAAGAGGTGGCATAGAAATATTCTAACCAAATGGGTGAGTGGAGAGCATGGATAGACTAGAATGGGAGATTGCTGAGTTACAAGTTATTACAACACTCAGGACAATGGAACCCCCAGGGCTTAACAGAGATATCGGGTTCTTATTTCACTACGCATGCTAATGTCATTCAGTTCTCACATCTGTTTGTAAATTTTTATTATGATGTTATGCATAGGTCTTACCAGTTGCCTTCATCCAATCTTAGGTATATTTGCTGCTATTCACAGATTTTACCCATCACTTAAAAAAAAAAATCAAGGGAGCATAAGTTTCATTGTTAAAGAGCATCAGAACACATTCCTCAGAAACAGGTGCTGAAAAGTCCAAAATGTTTGACCAAACTTGCAACATCTCTCTTTTTGAGGGGAAAAAAAAAGAGTAACACAAATGCTCTCAAACTTCTTGTACAACAGAGGGAGCTTAACCCTCTAATGAAATGATGAAAAAAACCTCTCAAAAGTGGACAGAATGCGGGAAGAGTGATAGGTTGTGCCACTTGTTACGGATAGTGTCAGTCGCCTGCCAAGGGATAAGAGGAGCATCCCAAGTCAAGCCACCACCTTCGACGTGACTCTCATAACTGCAGGAATGGCTGTGGCTGGCAGAGGGGGGAGGAGGTTAGCATTTTCCCAGTGACAAACTATTGCTGTCAGAATGCTGGGAAAATGCTGCAAGAAGCTGGAGGAAAGATTCTGGATGCCTTTCCCTCTCACCCGTCACTCTGTAAGATTTTTTTTGGGTATTTTTACATTTGTGTGTGTGTGTGCCCGTGCGCATGCCTGGAAGTCATGGCGACCTCTGGCGACTCCTACTGGGGCACGGAGGACATTCAGATAAGTGGTTTGATTGCCTCTGGCCTCCTGGCCCTCATATTCTTTGGAAGCCTCCCATCCAAATACTTGCTAGAGCCAGCCCTGCTTAGCTTCTGAGATCTGACGAGATCGGGCTTGCCTGGCCTATCCGGGTCAGGCCACTCTGTAAAGGTTTTGTGCTATAAACTGGAGAAGACCTGACGTCATGTCACCTTCCCAGCACTGACCACACTGCAGAACTGGGATTCATTTCTTTGGGTGTCGGTGTGTTTCGTTCTTGTGTTCCTTTTGAGATACGTGTATATTTCCCCCCCTGAAAAAAAGCCTGCCTATATTGCAGTTTCAGGGACTGACGAGTGAGATTATGGGAGAGGTGGGTCTCCGATTCAAGGCCAACTCTGGTCCAAAATAAATGCAACATGACAGACAATGTAAAACGCTCACTGGGTATATTGCTGTTTACAAAAAACTGCCTTGGGAAGGCTGCAGGTTTGATTGGAGGAAAAGGAATTGCTTGCTCCATTTCCCCTTCCAGCGCACTGTTTCCCCCCCACCCCCCAATTCATTTTAAAGCAGAAAAATAGCCCACTGGGAACGAATTAAGCCTTTTCTCCTGGTCATGCTGCAGCTTTCTACGGCTGCTTTTTCTTAAAGAACCTGGGCAGCTTTTACATACACCTGCCATCTAATGTCAGTAGCTTATTTTTCTCTGTGACTGGAAACGTGGTCACTGGTCTTTCTGGGAACAGGATGAATGGGGCCCTTGCTTTGCTCCACAGCTGCAGCAAACTCCAGGAGTCTTATTCCAGGAATCTAGCTGGCCCTTTGACCGCACAGAGGAAACTCTGGACATGTTATGTATGCTACAGACGGGAATGCTGGTATGGCTGGGGTTGTGTTCTGTTGCTTCCTTGGATTCATCTGCCTCTGACACTGGAAACCCATGAAGATCGTTTCAGAGGGTAGCCGTGTTGGTCTGCAGTAGAACAGCTGGACTCGCAGATTGATGACAGGAGCTTTGACTTGTAAGAACATAAGAGAAGCCATGTTGGATCAGGCCAATGGCCCATCCAGTCCAACACTCTGTGTCACACAGTGGCCAAAACCCAGGTGCCATCAGGAGGTCCACCAGCAGGGCCAGAAAGTTTATACCCCCCAAAATCTTGTTGGTCTCTAAGGTGCTACCAGATTTGAATCTAGTTTGAAACCCATCCACATCACAAAATCAAGAAGCACTGATCAGGCCTGCAGCTACAGCGGGGCTTTTGAGGGCTCCGCCCCCTTTCTTAAAGGCACAGCCCCACAAGAATGTATCCTGTAAATGCTTTTTTCAATCTAAAGGCGTGTGCTCCTTTAAGCAGAGGGGGGTGCTGTAGTTGACTAATTCCCTCACTGAGCAATACCACAGAGTGCTCAAATGTTGTCATAAAGATAGTTTTTAAAAACAATGTTTACATATACTCTACCTCGGTCTGCAAGTTTCTTGTCTAAGTAGTCTGAGACAAAATTATGCTTGAGCTATAATTACCAGGCTGTTGGTATGAAACTTTTTTGATTATAGGATGTTCCTGTTGTTACAAGAGAATCAAAAAAGATTTTAACAGCCTTCGCTGTGCAAATAATCCAGCAAATATATTGCCAGGTTAACTCTTTTTGGCAGCACAGAATTGTATGCCCGTGAACCCATCTGTTAATTCCATGCCTCCTGCAAAGTTCACCACTCTTTCACAGTTTTCTAAATCGACATAAAGCTTTAAAATCACTTAGAAACATGGAAATACAATGAAACGAACAGTTAAAATGGCAGCCAAATACAAACACAAGGATAGCAGTGCTGCTCCCCCAAAGCCAGTGTTAAGAGGAGGAAAGGGTCTTAGTACTTTGCAAAGAAAATGAAAAGGGATGTAGCTTTGTGGGCTACAGCAGAAAAGGCCCTGTTCCTCCCTATTTTAAGAATGAAAGAGAATACGCAGGTGCTTGCTGCCTTCTCAAAGGAGTTGACAGGTGACATTTTTCTTGATAAAACTTTGATATTGACTTGCTATCCTTGGAGGATGCTAGAGAGGTAGCTGTGTTGGTATGTAGTAGCAAAATTAAACAGAAGTCCAGTGGCATCTTAAATACTAATAACATTTATTCCAGCATGAGTTCTCATGAGTTTCGGATTCCCAAAAGCTCATGCTGATGGAATAAATGTTATTAGTTTTCAAGGTGCTGCTGGACTTCTGTTATTTTTAGCCTAGTGTAGCCAGACATCTGTAACCGCTTCAAAGCACTCTGTAATATTCATGAAGAACTTTATCGGATACTGATTTTTCATTCAGGAGTGGACTGGGAAGTGGTCTTGGAGCAAGCCAAGCTGAGTGGCCCTTGGGGTGCTACAATCCAGCACTTCAAGGGTCTCTCTGCTCTGCGCTGCAAACACTGGGTATCAGCTCACCTGTTGCTCCCTCCTGAAAACTGGCAGAAGTGTGGGAACAGACCATGGGTGAACTTAACACCAGTTGCCATTGACAATGAAGGGTCTAAGCCAGGGGTGTCAAACATGCGGCCCAGGGGCTGGATCAGGCCCCTGGAGGGCTTCTATCAGGCCAGCAGTGAAACTATGGCTGTCTTCTGCTTCCAGTTCTGCTGCTGCTGCTGCGTCATCATAGGTTTGCAGCTTACAGATACACACCTGAACAGCATACTCAAGACTGCAACAGCACAGACATTTTGATGGAATAATTCAGGGCAAGAGGTGTCAGTTATCAGACACTGTTAAATAAACAAAATATTGCAAGAGTGCTATCATCATAGGTTTGCAGCTTACAGATACACACCTGAACAGCATACTCAAGACTGCAACAGCACAGACATTTTGATGGAATAATTCAGGGCAAGAGGTGTCAGTTATCAGACACTGTTAAATAAACAAAATATTGCAAGAGTGCTAATGTTTTAAGCATTTTTTTATTTTAAGTTAAAAAAACCCTTTGTGTTCGTGTCCTTTATAAAGTTTGTTTCTCCACTACCTGCCATTATGTTTTATGACACACATGGCCCGGCCCAACAAGGTCTCATTTATGTCAGATCTGGACCTCATAACATATGAATTCGACACCCCTGGTCTAAGCCAAGTGGCCCCTGAGGCTCTGGCAGAGTTGCTGAGGCTTGGCTCTGTTTGCTTCTGACCCCCAGTAATCCTCTAAGGCAGTGGCCCACCAGGAAATTTCCCTGTTACGTTAAATGGCCAGTCCACCCCTTTTCGCTTTTGTTAATGAGTTTATATCATTTCCAAGGAAGCCCTTAGTAAAGCAGAGAGCCAGTGTTACATTTACTCAGATCTCTGTTCAACCATCAAAAACTCACTCTGCTAACAAGAAGCTGAACAAGTCATAGTTTCTCACTTGGTTACCTACATATCACTGGGATTCAGAACAAAACCTTTTTCACACAATTGGCTTGTGGAACTCTCTTCCACCTCATAACAAATGAAGTAAATTTTCAATTGATAATAATAGCAATAATAATGTCGCAATTACTTTTGACCTTAAAGAAGTGTGAATTTCTTTTCTTGGATAGCTAAATGTCTTGAGCCTTTTGGATGCAGTCCTGCAGGAGCAAACACTGGTTCTAGTAACCAGGGAGCCTCTGCTGGAGATTTACCTTCATGCTTCTACTGTTTCTTGTGTAGCATTTCTTAAAGTCGACCCCCCCCCCCACTTAACTGGTTATGAATCTGTCTGCCTTGAAGAGGCAGTTGGGGGGTCTTCTTTCACTGAAGCATAAAGAAAACTGAATGCCTGAAGACATTGAGAATAGCAGCCTCTTTTTTTATCTGTATTAGTTCTGCCCAGATGGAGAACTGAATTTGTATGTTACCGTTAGCCAGCCAAGAGGAACTTGAAATCTGTTTATATGACATGCTGTCTTGACTCCATACCTTCTTTCTTTCTCATTTGGTTCATAGCATGCCCTGCTGTTAAACTTATTTTTGGAGATGGATATCGGACTTGTAAACACATGTACTGTACAATAAAAATTTTAATTGTGTTTTTTTAATCATCATCATCATCATCATTTCAATAAACATACACTCAATACATATATTCATACACACACATACACAAAACAAATTCACCGGTACTTTACAAGAAATCACAATGAGTATATCGTATCATACATTTTTTTCATTACAAAAAAGAATGAATAATGTCCAATATTTACTAAATAAATCAGGTCCCATAACATTACCCCTACTAGCCTTTTAATAGTATGTTAATTTAGATAACAGTGCAATAAGGCAAATCTTGTTAAACTACTCACTGATAGCTGGTGATACTGGCTTTTTCCAGTTTATTGCAATAACTGTGCTTACTGCTGTAAATAAACTTAGTACTAATTCTCTTGAGAGTCCCTTGGACTGCAAGAAGAACAAATCAGTCAATCCTATGTTCAAAAGATATTTCCCTACCCAGCATTTCATTAACATAGGTCACCACAGTCTTCCAAAATGTTTGAATCTTAGGGCAGGACCAGAAAATATGAAACACATCTGCAGAGGAACTGTTAATCTTCAGCCCTTATCCTCTGTTATCCTATATATAAGGGCTAATTTATGGTGAGTTAGGCACCATTGAAGGAGTAATTTATACATGTTTTCTTTAAGACTAGTTGACAGTAGTCTAGGAACAGCTCTTGCCCAAAGCCAACACTGTTCATCTTCTGTGATTGTAATTTGCACATCCTTTCCCCATTTTCTAGTATAACTCAATGATCCATATTAATTATCCAAGAATACAACAATGCAATAGCACCTTTGAGAACCATAATTCAAAAGATGTTTTAGATCTTAAACCTGCATATGGTTTTGACCTTTAAAGCCCTATATGGTCAGGGGCCTGTCTACCTGAGGGACCGCCTTTCCCCATATGTGCCCCAGAGAGCACTGAGGTCATGGTCGCAAAATCGCCTAACTGTCCCTGGCCCGAAAAACACCAGGTTGGCCATTACTCGTGCCAGGGCCTTTTCAGTGGTGGCTCCTCAGTGGTGGAATGAGCTTCTAGAGGACATCAGGACCCTGCAGGACCTTTTACAGTTCCACAGGGCCTGTAAAACGGAGCTCTTCCACCAGGCGTTCGATTAGGAGCCGCCACTGACGAGTCTGTCACCAGAACATCCCACGGCCCTACGATACATGGTA